CAAATAATCGTTGGATAAAATCTTCTCGTCCTGTACGTTTTCCTATCCGTTCATTTCATCCATCAAAATATCTTCCTCCACGTTCATCAAGTACTAATTCATTAGCAACATTGCCTACTGATGATAATCTAAGTACTTCATCATCTTCATTATCATCAATAATAACAGCAACAACAGATATAATATCATCATCTTCTATTGATAATATTCTTATATCATCTTCGTCTGGTTTAACTAATGGAAATAATTCTCATTCACAACAAAATTTTTCTAATATTGGATTACCACCACCGGAATCATCAGATGAATTAGTAAAAAAACAGAAAACGGGATTTGGACGACGAAAAAATAAAAATGAAATTCAAAATGATAAATCTAATATACCATGTCCACCAAAATTTATTCAAATGAATGATCAAATAGTTAGTTCAGCTGATAATAATTTTGATACTGATAATACTACTTATAATCTTTATGCATTCGTTGTAAGTATTTGAAGATTTTTTTTTTTATAGATATTATTGTATTCTATTCTTGTTTTATAGTGTCATTATGGAGTCATTGGTGGTGGTCATTATGTAGCATTTGTTAAAAATCATATTAATCAACAATGGTATTGTTTTAATGATAGTTCATGCAAGGTAATTTTTCTACGAGATACTTTCTATGAATAGAATAAGATATTTATCAATGGTTATTTCTAAGAGGTGGAAGTTAATTTGGGACGATTTTGTTCTAATATAATTCATGCTACTTATCTAGGAAATCAATTTTTTTATTTGACTTAGTCATTCAAAGAATTTTAAAATTTTTTTGTGCAGTTTAATTATATTTTTCTAATAATTAAAAATTGAAGTAGGAAAAAAACATGTCGCCTAAACATTGCATTAGTAACATATTTCAGTGATTTTGTGAAATTAGTGTAGTTGGTAATTAATGAATAAAGAATCCATGATGATTCTAAAAATATGAGTTAGTAGATAATCCTTCTTTGTGGAACTGTTGAACAAACTGTACGATGTATGACTTTCATAACAGATGTTCCGTTATAATTTAATATGCTGTTGTTTGTGGCAGTGAATAAGCTTATGGAATACACTGAACACGAAATTCTAGTTCATTTTCACAAGCATTCTGAATTTTATTGAATTTTTCTTCAGTAAGTGCTCTACAATCTTTCATAACATCATCAATTTTCGATAGTTCTAGTTTCATAAAATCGCTGAAAAATAGCTGTAATATAAGATTTAGTTGGGATATGTTTGTCGAATTCGACTTGTGGACCTTTTATTTTATGATGATCAAGAGAAAGATTACCTGTGGATTTTTTTCTTCTAAAGGTCTATTATCTTTTCCTCTGAAAGTAATTAACATTAGATTGAATACTGAACGAGTATTTAACTTGAATTATCATTAGAAGAATTAATCGATTTAATAGTTTTTTTTTTAATTTTCTAGCCTGTTTCAGAAAGTTTTCTTGAACAATGTTCATCATCAGCTTATTTATTATTTTATGAACGTGAATACCTTGATCATCGTTCTTATATGCCTAATGTTGAAGGTAAAAATCAAGTAGCTAATGAACTTTCATTAACTGTCGATGATCGTTGGTGTTCATTAATGTGATTTCATAAAGAACAATATCTTCTTATTTGTGATTAGTTTTTCGTTTTCTTCAAATATGTATTTTTTTTGCCGGTGCTTTTCTTTTGTGTAATCAAAACAAAACTTGTATAAATATATCTTGAAAAAATTCTATATACTTCAATTAAAATTGTACTTGATGGATTATTAAAATATGAGAAAAGTTTAATTTTTCTCTTTGACTGTTTTATACTTTTACAACAAAGATAATAAAAGATGTGCTTTGTTTCTTTGTTTCTTTTTTTTTCGTGCAAATCGTTGGTTTTTATTTCTATTGTGTCCAGACAATTTTAACAACAATGATATACACAATAATAGTTATTAATTATGTGATATTATAGGATAAAGAGAAGTTAATTAGAATATATTCTAATGAGGTTAAATTAATAATAATTTATATCGAGATAATTAGTTATCATCTTTTATTTCTTTATAAGACTATACTTTTTGATTTTATCATCAATTATGAAATCTAACTGCAGGTAATTACCACATTAAAAAAAACATCTTATTCGAGTTCTTAATAAAATAAGAATTCACTGAAAAAAGCTATTGGTGCAATATCTGTGAGATTACAATAGAAAACACGATGTAAATGCTGTTACTAATCATAGAAAAATTGTTCTCTTCTAATTATTTTGGAATAGATTTCTTCACAACGGATAAGACGAAGATCAACAATTATTTGTTTACCAGTATCACACTTCGATACTTCAATGTGCATCTATTGCAATCTCTATGAAATGTCTACATCAGTTTTTTCCACATTAAAGTACTCTCATTCTCTTTATCAAAAATTGCTGATGAAAAGTATGAAGAAATATTGAGTATAAATTGTTGACTTTTGTTGTTTCGTAGAAAAAATAATGGTAAATAAACAGAAGAGAATACTTCTGATATCTTTCAGAATCTTCTAATATTTCAAAAGAACAAAAAGTTAAATAATTGATACTACTTGATGAATTTGCTTGGCTACAAAGTCTATCATCATATGAATACATTTTGTCAATCACAGCGAAACAGTACTAAAACATGCCATGTTGAATAAGATTGTTCGAGTGCTACTGCAGCAAAATGATCATAAATACCTTTATATCGAAATGGCATTCGAGTTGGACATGAGACTACGTATATGACATCAAAAAGAATCTTGTCAACTTGATTATATATATTCACTTGTAATGAACTTTAGATACATAATACTCTATATCTATTACAAGTAGATATCTTTTTAAAAACTATAAGCTTACAATGATCAAATTATCTTTTTGAGAACTATTAATAATTTATTTGTGATAGTGCTGCCATGGATCGATAAAATGATTACTTTTAGTATGCCCTAAATAAAATAAAAAGAAGTACAATAAGTGATAAAGAAGAATTTTTGTGTGTAGCACAACTCGATATACTTATTTATATAATCTGTAAAAGTCAACCGAGAAGATTATATCTTCTCAAAACTTTGACTCTTTTTTTGTTCAACAAAACAAAAGCTAAATTGAAAAAATACATTATGTATTTTTCATGCGTGTTGCAAAAATTTGAACTAATTTTGTAACTAGTACATAAATAGCAGTTGCCAAGATATTTCATTCTAAAGTAAAGATCACAGTCTATCTAATAAGCGTCCTATGATCTTCTGTTCGAGAACAGCTGAGTCTGCCATTGATCCAAGGACTTTTTTTTTGCAATTCTCATTACTAATATATGACATTGGTTTGATATATTATTTTATAAGTACAATGATAGTTTGGTAGGACATGAGTAAATTGAATCTATCAAATAAAGCAATGATTTAGTCTTGACATTACAATGTTTCTCTAATAGATACTGTTTATCATGCTTATCAAGCATTTATTATATATAGCTTATACTCTGATTATATGTCCATTAATTGAGTATCAATCTGAATTGAAAATCTTCTATGATTGGAATGTATAGAATAAGAACAAACAAAAATTTCTGAAAATTAACCCCAACAAAAAATCGTATTGATTTTCTTGCTGTCACATAGAATTATTACGATATTGAATTATTGATCTCTTATTATGTAATCATTTAACTAATGTAGATTGATGAATATTTGTAAATCTTATCGTCTATTGTTAGTAAATTTTTAGTTAAAAGAAAATGTCCAATACAATAAAATGGAATAGTTATGAAACAACAATTTTTTTCTTTTGATTTGATTTGATTTGTAATCATTCAGATATACATATTGCTTCTATGTACTCAATAAATCAGCTGAAATAATTATTTCTGACATTAACTTCCTTTGTATAGTTGAAGTCAATGAATTGTTAAGTGCATTGATTTCCTCCATGTGGTCAATAACTAAACTAATTATAACAAAAAAATGACCGTTTTTTTTCCGGGACACAAATGAAATTAAATCAATCAATTTTAATCAACTATCTTGCATCTATATTATTATATTTTATAGTCTTATATCATGACGTTGTCAGAAGGCATTCGGCAGACAAAACTCACAAATAGTTTATTAAAAAGATGAATTCAAAAAACAAATGGACACTGCAACTTCACATACTCTTTCAAATAAAAGCATTTGGTTACAATGAAAGTCTTTGAAGAATTTTGTGATGTACGATCAGAAAAGCATAAACAGAGAGAAAAAAAAATAGCACATTTTTCAAACAGAAGCTGATGAAAATCATCAACAACCTTAGCAACAAAAAAAAGCTTGTTAATGCAGCTCTCTCTTAAAGACGGATAGTTTTTTCTCAACGATAACTGATCCTCAGTTAACGCTATGTCTTTTTTATTGTTCTTTTTATCAGTTATATACATTCTTTCATGAAAGATCAAATCTCGACTTCCCTCAATTCTTTCTTTCTTTTTTTGTGAGGGAGTAACAACTTAACTTACTACAAAAAAAAGATGTTGTTTTTTTTTCATACACATACTCTCTATTCTTTTGTTTCGAAAGGAATATTTAATAAAAATCAGATTGATACATAGTAATAAAGAAAAATATAATGATGTAGTATAAAACTAATTTTTAGACATGATAAAAAAAATATCGATTATGTCTGAAAAATATAGTTCTTTTTTGCCGTCTAGTAGTGTCCTCTTTGTCGTTAGATGCATCATGTGTTGTTTTTTCCTTGAAAGCAGAGAGAAAGAGAGAAGAAGAAGAAGAAGAAGAAGAGAGAAAAAATTATTTGTTGGACGAGAAAATGGAAATAGCAATGGAAGAAAAGAAGGAATGAATGATCAGATCAGTCACCTGAAACGAAAATGACTTAGTCATATAGTATGACATATCTTTTTATTTTTTTCTTTTATAGATGCAATAAAAAAAAAGAAACTCATAAAATATTGATTTAATTTACAAAATGCCACTACCTCGTTCAGCTAAAGAGATATCAGCAAATGATAATGAATGTGGTAATTTATTTTCAAAAGAAGATCCAGAAAAATTATTTGTCGATTTACGAGAAATTGGTCATGGAAATTTTGGAGCTGTTTATTATGTATATATTCATGAATGAAATTTTTAAAAAAAGAAAACTTTATATCTATTAATTATTTAGGCACGAAACTCTGAAACAAATGAATTAGTTGCAATAAAAAAAATGTCAACAGGACGAAAACAAAATACTGAAGTTTGTCTAATAAAGAAAAGTTTTTTTTTTATTTTTTTTGTTTGGTTTTTATTTTTAAATAGACATGGCATGATATTCTTAAAGAAATTCGTTTTTTACGTGAATTAAATCATCGTCATTGTATTGCTTATCGTGGTTGTTATTTAAAAGAATATACAACATGGCTTGTAATGGAATATTGTCTTGGTTCAGCAGCTGATCTAATTGAAGGTTGAGAAGAATGTATTCAAAAAAAAAAGAAATTTTATTATTGAAATATATTTGTTTATTTAAGTTCATAAAAAACCTTTAACTGAAGGTGAAATAGCTACAATTGTATGTGATACATTGAATGCACTTGATTATCTTCATTCTATGCAACGAATTCATCGTGATATTAAAGCTGGAAATATTCTATTAACAGAAGATGCTATTGTTAAATTAGGTAATTGAATAATATATATATTTTTTCAAAAAATTTGAAATAATTGAGTATAAGTTCGATTTTTGAAGAACTATTAAAAGAAATCATTCTGAAGAATTATATTTGATATTTATTCCTTTGTATAATTTACTTTATGAAAAATCATACTTAGTGGCGTAACAAAGAAACTGATTAAACAATTCATTTCGATTTTCTCAGTAGTACTCTAATCTCACTCTTATTGTGCTATAATGGATTGCAGAAAATAAAAGAAATAGCAAAAGGTAAGATTATCTTTGCAGGATTTTATCCTTTAGTGAGCAGATAAAAGTATTTTCATCTGTGAAAAAAAGAAACAGTTAAGCATACTTTTTTAATACGATCAAAAAAACTTATACGTAAACAAATAACATACACTTCATACAGAATAAATTGAATAATATATATATATATTAGAAAAATTGTGGATGGCTAATAATAATTTTCTTTTCTTTTTAGCTGATTTCGGTTCAGCTTCATTTTCTAGTCCAGCAAATAGTTTTGTCGGTACTCCGTATGTATTATAATTTCATTTAATTAATACAATTTAAATTTTTCTTTTTCCAGTTATTGGATTGCTCCAGAAGTTATTCTAGCAATGGAAAATGGTCAATATGATGGTAAAGTTGATATATGGTCACTAGGAATAACTTGTATTGAACTTGGTTTGTTTTATTTTTCTTTTCTTTTCTTTTCTTTTTTCTTTTCTAATTAAATTTTTTTTTAGCGGAACGTAAACCACCATTATTTAATATGAATCCAATGTCTGCACTTTATCATATAGCACAAAATGAACCACCAACATTAATGATGAATAATGAAAATCAACCAATAAATTCAAATAATACAACATCATTATATACAAATGATTTTATTTCATTTATTGCAATGTGTTTACAAAAAAATCCAAATGATCGACCAACATCAACTGAATTACTTAATGTATAAATTTATGTTTATTATTATTAATATTTTGTAAATATATATTATTTTATTTCTAGACAATATTTATAAAAACTAATAGTAATCGTGAAATTTTAATTGATTTAATTCGACGTACAAAAGAAGCTGTTAAAGAATTTGATAATATACGTTATCGTCGTATGAAAAAAGTTCTTATGGGACATGATGAACAAATAAGTATAAATACAAGTAGTTTATCTGTACCAAATTCAAGTATTATAGAATCAAATGAATTAATTATTATGGATATAGATAATTCAAATAATATATCATATCCAATATTAGATGATGATGATAGTCGTAGTGCAGATTTTATATCGGATAGTAATCAAATAGATCCATGTGATGATATAAGTTTAAATTCAAGTCAATCAAGTCTTCAACATACATCATCAATACGACATAATAATCTTCTTCTTAGTCGACAAATATCAATAGGATCTCAATCAATTCAAAATCAAATTATTTCAAATATAAATAATATCAATCAAAATATTCCATCAATTGAAATTAATAATACAAATCAAATATCTCTACTTAATCCATTACCACCACTTCAAATAAATATTGATGAATCAAATATTCCTATAAGAAATGATGTAAGTTTTAATAGAAATTTATTTAAAAGATTATTTCAATTTCTAGAGAAAATAGAAAGGACAACAAAAAAAAAATGGATATATATTTTTTTTCCGTTATTTATTCTATATCTATTAACATGATTATTTTGAGAAAATATATGAAGAAATTAATAAAACTTTATTTTAAAGTTGAAAAATGAGTTATTTTGTTTTTTAGAAAGTCAATTGAAGAATATTTTATGAACTCTTTTGAAAATTCAACTATATTTAATATAATAAAAAAATCATATTGAGATGTATAACACTACGATCAATTCAAAATGTCAGATCATTTCAAATCTTGATTAGATCACAATTCTTTATGATTATAAATAAACTATTCAGATAGTTGACATTTAGAAATGATCATGATAAAAAAAAAAATCATTGTCAAAACTCATCTAACAAAATTCCTAAATACTCATAATTCCTAACAAGACTAATAGAGATATGCAATATATTTTTCAATACATACGCAATATACTATGATAACTATTTTTTTTTTATTTTTATTTTATTTTACTCTAACATTTGTAATACCAATTAAATATTAATCCAATATTTCATCGGTCATATTTTGTATATGTCAATTTATATTATCCTAAATAATTATTTTGATCGAATAAATTTTTTTTTTAATTCTAAAATTTCATTTCATTCTAATATTAAACAAACAAATCAATTGAAATGTTTTCATATAATTAATTAATATAATTTTCTATTTAAGTCAATAACGTCTGATACTTCATCAATTTCTCAACAGCATAATATGCATCCTCCACTTACTAGTGAATTTTCTACAATAAAAACATCACGTATTGTTATACGTGAACAACGTGAACATGATCAAGAAGATCAACAACGTGAACAATTTCGTGGTTATAAACGTATGAGACGACAACATCAAAAACAATTGAAACAAGTAAATATATTTATTTTTATTTTTTATTTATAAAGAAAATAATTATATTTAGTTTGAAGAACGATGTCGTCAAGAAAAAATTGAATTACGTTCAAAACTTGAACGTGAATATAATATATTTCAAGACCAAGTTAATCTTGAAAATAATCGTTTATTAGAAAAACATCGTAAAGAATTATCTGATCGAATTAAATATAATCAAAATCATTTAAGAAAATTTGAACGTGATCAACAAACAGATTTTGATGATGAACTTAAACGATTTCAACAAGAACAATCAAAACAATATAAAATTAAAAAAGATATATTTAAAAAAGTAACTTTATTTATTTTATTTTTTTTTTGAAACACAAATTATATTTTCAAAAGAAATTAATCAGTCGAAATTTTTTCTCTAGAAAACAACAGGCTTCTAATTCCTGAAACATGTTAATGAATGTTCTAAATAAAGAAATTTTTTTTTTGCTAGATATAATTTTCTAATCGGAATCGAATAGTCACCTTGAAGATATGAGATAATTTTTTCCTATATTTATTTTCAAGGACTAGCGTGTCCTATCTATTTCTCTGACAACTATATAGTTGAGATGTATTGATGTATTACAGTCATCATATAATCAACATAAAAAGTGTAAACAGATCAAGTTATCACTCAGAGGAATAATATCAATATCCGTGTTTCTGAGGTTATCGAGATATATAATAACTTATTGAGACCTTCAATAGATATAATGGATATCTACAAAGCCTTTTTTTTTTTACCAGTGAAATAAAAATTTTAAGAAAAGCATATTACAAAAATAAAAAAAAACACACAAGGGAATTACAAAACATAAAGTATCAATCAGGATTCTAAATTGCTTTGAGGATGGAAGAAACTGAAACGATCGACTTTCTTTTATATTCTATATGAAAGAAGGTGCCTTCATTTGAATATATATTAGAAACAAAGCTAAAACTCCCTTTCTGTCATGGTTTCTCACGAAACTGTAAAAAAAAGTATTTGTAGAAAACTTTCGTCATCCCCTACTTAATTGGGTAATCCGGATCCTAGTAAAAAAAAAACCATTTCTATTTAGAATGAAACAGATCGTTTTTCTAGTGATCAATTATTCTTAAAAGGCAATCAGTCTTCTAGAAGTTGTTTATTTGACGTATTTTCTATTAATATAATGAATCTAAAGAACATTTTTTGTAATAGGAAATTTTAAGTTCATCAACACGTGGAAAAACTGAAAAAGAAGATGAAATACGTCGTTTAAAAGATGATTTACAATTAAAAATACGTAATGATGAACAAACATTAAAAACACAATTAATGCATGATCATAATGTTCGACGTTTACAATTAAAACGACGAAAATTATTATTATTACATGTTCTTGAACAAAAATTATTTGAAGAAGTTTGTTTAAGTTTTTCGAAACAAATAATTTTATTTTATGTTTTCATTTTTTTTTGTTTTTGTTTTTGTTCTTTAGAAATGTACAAAAAATATGGATACAATCATACAAAGACATGCACTACATAAAAAACATCACGAACAAACCAAAGAACTTGAACATAAACAATTAGCAAATTTACATAAGTAAGAGTGTGAGACTGATCGGTTGTGTTATCTTCCTCTATTAACCTAAACAGATCTTGTTCTGAGGTCAAATAATCATCATGAAACGTATATTCACCTTTGATATTTTCGAGCATGATTATTCGTTGATCATATGATATATTTATATATCTTTACTCACTATCTATAAATAGACGATGATTAATGAGTAATGAAAATCATAAAAGAAATATTCAATATTGTACTCTCTAATAAACATTGACAATCTTTTGTTTGTACTTACTATGATAACCTAATATTAGTACCTTCTTTTAATAGACGATTGATAATAAAAGTCAGTATTTTATTTTATTTTTTTTTCGAAAACTATTGGAAAATTTTTCTTTCATTTTTAAGATTTATATTAATTGTTGAGATCATCTTTAAGCACATTTTAATTGAATCTATAGAGATCTAGACTTCGAAAAAAAATGACTTTGTATCTATCAGTGATGTTGCTATGGCAAAAACTTGAAATACTATCTAAAATTTTTAAAAAATACAAGATTATTTGAAAAGAAAAATAATGGATAGTTTGATCATGAATAGATAATCAATGAACTATGAAAAAGCTAGAAAATTTTCAAGATATCAAATACTTGAAAATTTTCGTTCATATAATCGAAATGATATTTTTGATTATTTTTTAACTTGAAATTTTGTTCATATGAAAATCTTAATTAAACTCAGACTCTAAAACTTTGAATGTTGCAGACATTGGAATTGAATCAAGGTTCTAATACGAAGGGTCACAATGGTTTGAATATATGAATATGTTCTCTGGTAAGATTCGAAATAAATACAATTCTATTTCAAGGACAAACAAATAGAATTCAATCGGCTAAATATTAAGCATTCATTTCAATTATTTGTATTTTTCTTTTCCCCCAACCATTAATCAATTCTAACATCAAGTTTTTTAAAAATGCCTACTCTCAAGAATGTCGCGGAATCACTAAGATTAAAGAATAAAGGGTGTCGGTAACTTAGGAAGTCAACTGTAAAATCTTTGCAAAAATTGACCAGATTCGAAGGATATTTAAGCGATTTTTGGAAAACGCTGAAGCTCCGGAAGGGAACAATGAACACGTTTCAAGATTGCAAGAAGTCATTCCTGCAACTCTCTGCCGAATATCCAACATCTAGGCTTGAATCTGACAATTGATAAGATGTCGACATTTCAAAATATTTTTACTTTTTTTTACATTAGTTTTTAATAAAAGCATAAGATTGAAAATTTGAGCAATTTGTTGTACTTAAAAACAGGTCAAAGAAGTGAAAAACTATATTGTTTTACTGAAAGAATTTATTTTTCGTGAAAATTCATTGATGTACCATATGACGAAGTAGATGAATACATGGAGAGAAAAATGAATTGTTAAAAAAGTGAACATGTATTATCGTGGTTGAAAAGGACCTGCATGTATATATCCACAAATATGACCAACACGACGTTCTATTCCAGCGTCATCAGCAACAAGCAAACGTGTACTTAGCATCATTCATTGAATTTTAGAAACAGAAATACATCAAATGAATCTTGAATCTTTTACTTTTTTCTTTTGTTGTTATTTTTATGAAACAAGCTGAATAGTATTTTTTTTTTTCATATAAAATAAAAGGTTGAAAACCAACACTATATCTGTAAAACTATCTACCTGATGTCGATTAACTTTCATTCGGGTTTAGTTGTGAAAAATCGTACTCGTACATGATACTACTTTTGTTTATTCTCAAGATATTTCTAAATATTTTTTTTTTTGAATTAAAATAATTTTTTTTTTAATTTTAATTTTCAAGAATGCGTAATGAATTTACTGCTAAACAACATCAAACTGAAATAGCCAATTTTCATGAATATAGTAATCGACGGCAAAAAGAATTAGCTAAACGACATGCATTAAGTCAAAAACAATTTCCAAAAAATATTAAAGTAAAAGATTAAATAACAATTAAGATAATAAATAATTGTTTTGTTCTTTTTTTAATACATATTCAATTTTATATTTAGATGAAACAAGCCGATATAAAACGTCAACATAAAGAAGCATATAATACACAAACACGACAATATAAAGCTTTAAAAGAGAAAACACGTCTTGATTATTTATATGCATCAACTAATAGTTCACGTGAAGAACTTGATTTAAAATTAAAAACACTTAAAGATGAACAACGAAGAAAATTTGATTTACTTTATCAACGTTATGAAGAAACAATACAAAAAATGCTTGATCAACAAAATTTTAAACTTAATTCTGATCAAGAACGTGAACGATCTTCATTAAAAACAATACTTGATGATGATCAAAGAAATTTACTTTATTTACAAGAAGAAAGTCGTCATCGAATGGAACAACAACATCTTGATGAACGAAAACAATTAGAAAGAAATATTGAAGAACGATTCATAGAACTTAATAAACAGGTATATACTATTCAATAAGATTTCTCATTATATAAAGTCAAAAAAACAATTTATACTTTAATAATCAAACAGAACGATGATTATAAGTGTAATAAATGATATACATCTACTATTATTTCATACAGTTTGTAATCATCAAAATATGTAATTTATCATGTCGATTTTATATTTTCATCATCCACACCCAAGTAGATTCTGTTGAAATAATCCCTTCTTTCATCTGAAATAGTATAACATCCCTCAAAAACACCATGGCCTTTCACAACAGAGAATACTAGACAAGAATTTGTTTCGAGATCGATCGTTGACACTAAAAATAATCAATATTCAAGAACATACATATCAACTTTGTTTTTCTGTATGTAATCTACTTATCATTAGATATCAACAAGAAATATGGCTATATCATATATCAATCCCTAAAATTAGTCAGAATATATCGGATTACATTCTTAGTGACGCATACAGTTGATAGAAAATAGAATTGCTCACATTTTTTTTGTCTTCAATTTCTATCTAGATTCATTTAAGGATATTATCATAGGTGGCTTCAAATATTTTTAGTTAATCTCTTTAAAATTGAATACTTTAGGTTACATCCTGATATGTTGATCTAAAAAAAGAAATCATTATGCTTGAGGAAAATGGACTTTTTGACTTTGGAGGCGACCTGCATATATGACAAGTCTTAATTTGATGAAGCATATAATGAAAGTTAATTGTATCACTCTGGTCCATCAAATTCTGAAAATACTAATCAATCTAAAAGAATATTTACTTATTATCATCAACTATGAAAAGAAAATCCTATTGAATTAAATACATATGTCATCTGTGACAATAATTTCGTCTTTTATATTAATAGTCTTGTTAGGAAATTTGCAGAAATTTGAAAAACAATATGTTAGATTTAGAATGTTGTGATCTTTCCGAATATGGACTCAAAATTATTGTAGGACTGCTAGTTGAACTCGAAAATTTCAAATAAAATGAATATTTCCTTTTCTTTTTTTTTTACAACATCGAATCTATTTTGATTTTCTAAACTTTCTTAAATATTTTACTCATTTCTATTCAAAAGATTTTCTTGCCTTTAACTTATTATATCATAATAATAGACAATATCAAATAATCAGAATTTATAACGAAAAAAAAAAAAATTTTATTAAATAATTTTTACAAGATTTTAATAGTCGTACATAAAATGAATAGATTGACTAATAAGAAAAATAATTTTTTTTTTATTTATTTTTTCTTTAGATGGAACAAGAATTAAGTGCATATAATGAAGATCGTACTCGACAATTTACATTACTTTTAGAAAAACAACGTCGAGAATTATCACAAATTGATTGTGAAATAACAAATTTAGGTATTAATGTTGCTGATCTAGCTGAATCAATGCAAGATATACATTTTTTTACTGCCATTCCTAATGTTAATACTTCTTCAAATATTAATACTAATAATAACAATAATAATCGAACATCAATGATAAGTTTACATCGTTCTTATAGTTCGAATTCATTTGTTTCAAATAATGGTAATGGTACAACAACCAACCATAAGTAAATCAATATGTCATTTATAATTCGTTTGTGAATACAGTGATTATCATTATCGTATTGTTATTGTCGTCTCGCGTTTTGTTCGAGTTTAAATTCAGGTTTGCTTTTTTTTTTTGTTTTTTCTTTCTTCCGACTTTGTACAAAGGAAAACTAAACTATAAAAGGATCGATGTATTGTGCTTTTGTTGTTGTTGTTGTTTTCTTTTTTTTTTCTTTTCTTTTCTCTTATTTCTTGCAATCAGATTGTGTTTATCTTTATTTCTTGTTGTTCTTATATCATTTACAGGAAAAGCATGTTTTTTTTTGTTTATTGCTTTATTTCATGCTATTTTTCTAAATATCGACCCAAAACGATTAATTGTTTACTTTCAGATCATTTATTTTATTTATTTCTTCTTCTTGTATTTTTGATTATCTATCTATATATATATCTATAATGTCGAATAATAATAATACTACGGAAAATAATTCAATGCCATCAGTTGAACACACAATTGTTACGATAAATCAACAAACAGAAATACCAGCAACAATACAGCCAGCACCATTAGGTAAAATAAATAGAAGGATGTTTGAAGAATATATTTTAATATAGACTTCTTAATCGAAAAAAAAACAATCTACACTTATGTCTTTTTATAAGATCTTAATAGAAAACTAATAAGTAATTATATGATTTTTATTGTATGAGAATAAAAGAAAAATACTCGAAAGAGTCGATCACCGATATTACTTTTCTATCGGTGCGTAAACCATAAGATCGGTTTCTGTAGTTAATGTCTGATTAGAAATTTTGGAACATCTTGTTAAAGAGATTATGTCGTAAACTGAAAAATTTCTTATAATACAAGGCAATATTTCTCTACTAAATTCATATTTCTATCAAATTAAGGTTCAATTCAATACAATGAATGAATAACATTCATATAAATCTCATTATAGTCCCGATGTACTTGAGTCAAATAGTCGATGACGTCAGCAGTCATTATATTTTGACCGATAAATACTATTAACCTATTCTATTAAATGTATCAAATTCAACATACTGAACCTAAATTCAATATAGCATCCGAACGGATCGGAATATTAATCTATTGTTATAATATTACAATGTTTATTGATTTGGATAATATTTGAGAAAAAACAATCAATTCTTCGAATTTTCTTTTAGTTACATAATATATTTCGTAATGCTCAATATTATCGATAAAGTTTAAAAAATTTCGAGAAAGATAAATTTATATTTGCTATTATCACATAATTTGACAGTTGAAATCAATTTCAAATATATAAACTAATTCTAGAGTTTGATTATTTTCTTTCATTATAAAATAATTTTATTTAATAATTAGAATTCTATCACAATCGTTTTTTTTTCTTGAGAACTAAAAAAAATGAAAACATATAGAATATCTGTAACTGAACAATCCAAAATAAATTCAATTTATATGATTGACATGTCCCAACTAATCTTGTTCGATATAAAGATTTGGTTCAATAGTTATTTGTGATATAAAAACTTAATTTATTAATTAAATTAATAATTTATTCTTAGATGAACCACCACCTGCTTATGAAATAACTTCATCTCCAAATAATCATGAGACTGTACATGTTGCTGATGCGTCTACAACTGTTGAAGCGCCACCACCTTATTGTCTTGTTGATCCCAGTAAAATACGTAATATGGATCATATACCACATCATCCTCATATAACACCAGTCGAAATTATTGATCTTAATGTCAATAATAATACTAGAAATGAACAAGTAAGAAAATATAATTATATATCTATTTATAAAAAACAAAACAAAAAAAAAACTCGAACTTTGTCTCTCTTTTCATAGTCATGTCGTCATAATAATCGTCCAACCGTAGCTACGTGGTTCGTATCTGGTTCAAATATGGACATTGGTACAGATTGTACATTTCTGATGGCATTGTAAGCTATAATTTTATTTTTTTGAACTCTTATTCTTTATGAAATTTAATTAAATAGTATTATTGCTTTCTTTTTCAATTGGCTTGGTTTTCTTGCTGTTGTTTGTCTTATACCAACAATTGCTGCTCGTTTTGGTGCCATGTCTGGTTTTGGTTTAAGTGTTGCTAAATGGATAACTGTAATGCGTTATCATGAATTTAATAATACATCGTTTATGAATCATAATATGCCATCAACATTATCACATAGAACATCAGTTTATGATCCAGCACAAAATTTTCTTTTTGCTATTGTTTTATTTGCTGGATTTTTTCTTTTTATTCGTGGTTTATTATCATATATAGCAATTAAAAATCGTGCTAATCAACAAGGACAAACAGCTGGAGTTTTTACTTGGTACTAATATCTCATTTATGGATCTGCGATTAATATTATTTTTTCAGCAAGCAAAAAAAAAAAGAAAACAAAAGGAATATCTAGTATATAATCTGTGCCAGAAAGGAAAAATAAAATAAATATTCATATATCAGATTTATTTTCTGCTTAATACATTTTCACTAGTTTTTTTTTTCTGTCAAAATGTAATGTATTCTTGTCAATCGATTCTTCGTTCTATTTTCGAAATAAATTATTAGACGTATACAAAAGAAACAAAGAATGTTAGCACATCATCTTTCAAAAGAAAAAAATACACATGGCAAGAAGAATAACATTTTTAGCAAATATTTAGACTTCTTACAGACATTTTTTTTTTTGTCATAAAAAAAGAAATAATTGCATAAATTACATAAATATCCTAACGTTAATTGTCACGATTGAGACAAAACACATTGATATTAATCTATCAGATAAATTTGACACAGTCAAAATTTTGTTTTCTTTCTTTATATTTATCTATATATATATATATATATATATATATATATATTAATAAAAAGAAATTAGTTGATTGTTTTTTCACTCCTATTTTCTCTTGCTTTGCATTTATTTTTTTGTTTTATCGGTTAATAAGTACAATCATCCAAACATGATTAGATCCTTGTTCAGTGAGGAACACGCGTACACATATACACAAAACACGTATATACAAAAGAAAAAACACATACAAAAACTCGTAACAAACAGAATATAACTTTCCACTGTTCTGTATATACAACCGTAGTGAAGACTAAATTAATACCACGATTCATTAACAAGAGACAAAACAACAAAAAAGACACCGGAGATGAAGTTTTTTTTTTCCTTTTGTTTCATAAATAGCAAGAATTCGATATAGAGTAAGAGAATAAAAATTTTAAGAACACACCGGTTTTTAAAGATGAAAAAAAATTAAAATTCTATTTTAATCTTCAACTGAACATGATGATACTTGTCGAAGATGTTCACGTGCATGACGATGTGATTCTGAACATGAACATCCAATCATCATTTCACGATTTAATAATGTATCAGCTGTTGCTTGATCACCATTAGCAACTATAATAAATATTTATTTATTAAAATTCGAATTTATAATAAAATTTAATTTTTTTTCAATTTACTAGCTGTATGAACTGCTGATTGTCCAAGCCAACCATGTTGATGTATATCAGAACCAGCTTTAAGTAAATAATCAATTATTTCTGCATGAGTTCCACGAACAGCTATAGAAAAGAAAAAGAATTAATATAGAGAAAAAAAACAATGCCATTTAGTTCTTTTTATCTGTTCGTCTACATACCAAGAATAAGTGGAATATCACCATCATCATTTTTACAATTAACACTTGCTCCATATTTGACAAGGGCTTGTACAACTTCTAAATGTCCACTTTGAGCGGCAGCATGCAAAGCTGTATAACCAAATTGACCTTTTTTCTGTATATCAGCTCCATATTCAATTAATGCTTTAACAACATCAAGTCGACCAAGCATAGCAGCATTCATTAGTGGCGTATAACCATAAGCATCAGGTGCATTAATATCTGCCCCTAAATTTACATGCATCAATGAAAATTTTCTTTGCAAACAATTAAAAAATTATTATATAAATATACCTTCACGAAGCCAGCCTTTAATACCATCAACAGAGCCACTTTCAGCTTCTTCAGGTAGTGAACGTTTTGTTTTTTGAGGACTACTAAATAAATTTAAAATGAGATCTGTGGTTGTTTTAATCCATGATATTGGATAATATATATCGCACGAATCAATTGTTGACATTTTAACTACGAAATTAAATATACTAAAACAAAAAAAAAAAAAAAAAGAAACAAAAAAATATAATGATTATTGAAATGCTAGAATAGAATCTTTTTGACTATAATAATTAAGAAAAAAATAGATGGTAACTATCATACATAAATTTATCCTTTATGCCTATTCTTTTTTACTGCTTGCACACATAGTCTACAAGAGTACTCGTTGACAGCAATAAGAAAAACAATTAATGATAATAACTATGATACATATGCTGAAGTGGTAAAGCATGCGCTGACTGTATGGGCTTTTTTTTCCTTCTATAAAGACTTTTACTATATTTAACTTTTTATCATAGAAAGTTTCGATTAACTATTTTTGTAACGTTATTATTTCATCAAGGTTGAAGTACAAATGCTAAGGAGAAAGAATGGCCTTAATGATAGTTTTAAGTTTCATTTTTTTTTCTTTGTTTTAATTTTTATTTATTTATATAGAGTGAATATAGTATAACAAATAAAGTTAACATAAATTCTTAAGTCTTTATTATCATTTTTCCGCTTACCGTTATAAAAAAAATTTATAAATATTTATAGTATTGTAAATTTTTGTCTCTTAGAGATTCGTTTATCTATAAATGTTGCGAGCGCGATAGTAGACACTAACGTTAGATTTACAATTTTGACTTCGTACTCAATATTTATGCTCTGAAGGAAGAGAGAGACATATAGAAAAAAACAGCGAGGGAAAGAGAGAGAGAAAAAACAAAAAAAGAAAAAAGCGCCTCATATTGATCACGTAGGCAACGTATGGTTCTTCATCATGTTTTGTTTCTTTCTTTAATACTCTTTCGTATGGAGTTCGCAAACAAAAGCATGAGCTCGATGCGTGATCAATATATTTTTCAGACATAGAAAAATTAAGCAAGTGTTTTAATTGATGCATATTTTATTTTTATTTTTATTTTTTTATTCAAGTAATGTGTACAGATAAAAACCATGACATATGATTCAAGAGATAACATTTGACAGAATCAAAAGAAAAAGAAAAAGGTGTGAGAAACATCCATATGAAGCCAATCCTCTTTTACGTTTTAATTTGATCATCAGGTTGGCAAGGTGCAGTTTTTCTTCATAACATTATTAATGATTTAGTTTAATAAAGAAAAACTCGATAGCAAATATTTTTAATTGATAAACATTGATAATTTATTTTTTTTTGTTAGGACATACTTTGGAGCTTTTCCTTCTATTGGTCCAACGTGATCTAGAATGGTTTATTTTCTTTCGATCTTTGCATAACGCGTGATCAAAATAGAAAATATCTAATCATGAGGCGAAAAAAAACTGATCTTTGTAGTTTATACAGATTTTTTTTCGTTTGTTTTGTATATTTTTTCTCATCAAGATTTTTCTCGAGTACATTCCATAACAATATGACCTTAATCAAAGTAGTGTTTATTATTCGATGAAGAAAATCAGTATTTATTCTATCAATCCGACTAATAGCAATACGCTATATTATCTCAATGAAATGGTAAAGGTTAAAATATTCCGTTGTTTCAAATACATATAAATATGATGTTGATTTGAGATATGAAAAATACAAAAACTAATCACTACAATAACAATAAGATAGCAAATGATAGATGAGAGATAATTTGAATTCTCTAGTGCACATTATTGACAAAGTTTCTTCTTCTTATTTTTTTTTTTTATGAAAAGCAAATAAATACAAGACATTATAATAGGCCTCATCGCGTATGCATGTTGAAACAATATACTGTTGAGATGGGAATAAATAAATATCTATGGTACTTAGACATAGTTGATATATTTCAATAATAATATATATTTTCAATAATACTAACCAATACAAAAAGAAGAAGAAAAAAAAAACGAATCTTTTACTTTATATTAATTTCAAAAGAATGATAACGGAAAAAAGTCCGATACTTGACACATAAAAAACAACTAAAATAAGATATGCATTTTGCGTTCGTTTGTCATAGGTTATTTCGTCTGTCGTTTTTTTTTTATTGTTGGGAAATTTTCGAATTATTCAAATGTGTTATTTTCTTTTTTGTGTGTGTGTGTGTGATCGTACTTGAAATAAACTCGTGATATTTTTTTTCATATCTATCAATAATGTCTGAATGCAACAGACATGAGTCTTTTTTTACTAGTATATTGCTGTTATTATTAAAAAATAAAAGTACGTTTTTCTTTTCGATTTCATAAAAGACGTTCTTTAGGAAAACAAAAGAGAACGATACCAGATAAGAATAAAACAAAAATTGCCTGGAGAACTTTGACCTCTTTTTCTTTTATATTCATGCAAACAAAAAAAAGAAAAATACGTAAAACAAATTTATTATAGGTATCAAAACGTTGTCATATTTAATAGAAAAGTCACGAGAATGATAAAACTAATGATTCATTAAGTATCACATGATTTTTATTCGACATTTAATGATGGGAAACAAAATAAAGACAATGATGTTATCAAAAAAAAATCATTTTTTTTTCCTAGTAAATTTTAGAAGTAATAAATGAAAAAATATTGACTTCAAATAAAAGTTTACATATTAAAACAATAGCTGTTATTGAAATCCCTGTAGGATTCAAGTGTAAAACATGTCATACTCGCTGATAGTAATTACAGAGACATTGATTTTAGGACAAAGATCTCCATCATTCTTTTACTTAATCTGCCAGAAACTCAATAAGTTCAATGTTATATTTTTTTGTCTCATATAGTTACATATAATCAACTTGATTGAATAATACACTGATAATAATGTATTTTTTTAAGATAATTTCTTGATGGATTATTGTTCAAGAGATACGAAGAGAAATTGATCAACTAACACTTTTCGTTTTGATTCGAAGAGTAGATGTTTCTTATTTTTCAATTAAATATGAAAAATTAATAATTATTTACATTCAATTGAATTAAAATGAATTCTAGTCCATACGAACGACTAGATTAAAATGACACGTTCAAAGAATGCATCATGCAGGTTTACTTAATAAAAACATATGTCACACTGAGCATCATCTGTTGCAATTTAATGTGTATCAATCGTCATGTCATATTTTTGTGACATAATTATGTTTAACATACCTTTAAATCAACAATAAATATTTTTCAAAAAAATAATGTTGTTTTGTTGGATTAATAGAAATTTTTGACCTCAGATGTTGTTCTATATATATTTTTTTTT